CATCAACCTGAAAGTTCTTCGTGCCAGCTCGTGAACGGTATCTGCTGGCAGATGACAGGTCCCAAAGTTATTCTGACAATAGCACTTCAAGGGCTTTTGCTCCATCTGTCGTGGTGAATTGATACTCTATCCCTAAGGTACCAGAAATAGAAACACTTTATCTACTGCTAGAGTTTCCATCATCCCTTAGCTCCCTTAGCAAACATAATTACCATCTCAAAGCAGAAGAGACCGTAGCACCATGAGATCAGGTTCACCCATTTACAGGAGCCCCTCGTTTTATTTCTGTTAAGGTCCTTCCAAATTATTTTCCCTTCTGCGCAGTACAGTGATACAATTACAGCTGCAGAGATGCCAGTATCGGCTTAAAATCTCTGACGTGGATGAATTCTAGACTCAAGCAAGACTGTGAAAATAAACACAGGGGGAAACGGACTAATCAAGCACTCAGGTAGCTCTTCTAGAGCTTGAATTTCCACACTTTCAGTACTTGTGTGTTTCACAGATTTCTGCTGCTTACATGAGCTGAGAAACTTTACTTTCCAAGCTATCAACAACCCATGCATGACTGGAATGCCCTCTGCGGGGCACACACTCGTTCAAAGGAAGCTGGAGAGAAAGGTTTTCTCCAATTTTTTTTTCCCCTCTATAAACCACTGTTGACACAGTGTGAAATCTGTAGGAAGTGTTGAAACTGACTTTTAAGTGTACTACAAATCCCTGATTTTTTTCTACAGGCACTCCAAACTGAAAGCTTCCTCCTCCCTGGATGGGGTGGGGGCTGTCTCACACCAAGTTCCCAAAACAGTGCAGCAAACGCAGCCACCCCGTAGATGGGGAGTGTAGCTACTATTTTATTTTTTTCCATTCACTATTGTCCAATTCCCATGCATAAGCAGCAAGGAGATCCACCGGGCCAAGAACAGAATTCAGCCTCTACAAACACTGACCAGGTTTCAGATGAGCAAAGAACTGGGGAGAGAGTAATCTAGCTTCTATGGCCACTGGATGAGAATAACCATGTGTGAGATCGGCCTCAGCAATGCTCCTTAGCTCTAGGTGTGGCTTGTGTTTCTCAAAACATGGATACCTGCTTAGCCAGATGCCCACATAAGCAGGTAAGATCCCCAAATAGCACTCATTAACTTTTGCTCCTTCCAAGATAAGGCTCTCCTTACTTTAAAAAGCAATGCCATAGAGGATATAACTTGTATTCCATCACGAAGGCTGGGCATTCCTACGGCACCTTCTGTCCTACCAAGCTAAGCCAAGCAGTATTTCTCTGTAACGAACATGACTGGGAAGAGGTCTCTGGTTTTGGAACGGCCATAGTGATACTCTTGCCGTGCTGGAGGAAGCCTAACAGAGCTGAGACTACCAGCTATTTGGGATCCCTGCTTCACCTGGCATGACAGCTCCAACAAATGTGTCTAGATAAATAAATGTCCTGCTTGACTCTGCCTGGACGCAGTATGTACGTTATATCCTCTTTTAGAAACATGCCACACTAAAATAGCGTGGGCTGACACAAGAATGCCACCTCAGACTCACAGTTACTATTCTGAAAGGTGCAGATGCACAGCAGAGTCAACACCCCTGCAACATCCATTTTTTAATTATTTTTTTTTAAGATTTGGGAGTTTAGGACGATGATCTCCAATCCATCTCACGCTTCACAGACCTGGATAAATTGTCTCGACAAGCCCATGATTTTCCTAGGGTTGGAGTAGAACTTTAGAGTGGCAACGAAGAGCATGTTACATGCACGTACAACTACTTTAGCAAAAGCCCAGTGAAGTTTTCTACTGACCACAGGCTAACACTCTCCTTTTCCTGTATAGAAAAATAAAGCCCAATTGTAATTATTCAAATTTGGAAATGCAAGTGTTTCTATGTGCCTCTCCTCCTGCTTTCAGTGGCTTGCAGAAAAGCTCTGGACAGTACCACAGTAGCAGCTCACGAATCTGAAATCTACTGCAAAACTTGTTACGGGAGAAAATACGGTCCCAAAGGCATTGGCTTCGGACAAGGGGCGGGATGTCTCAGCACTGATACTGGTGACCATCTGGGCTTGAATCTGCAACAGTGAGTTAAATCCCCCTAACAGCACCTTCTTCTGGTACTGCTTGTCACTTAGCAGCGTATTTCAGATATTTTATTGTGTTTCCATAAAAACATCTAGCGTAAGTCGCAGAGCAGACTTTCTTACAACCTTTCCTTGAGTGGACACAGCAACTTACCAGTTTTTAATGACGTTCAGTCTCTTTAAGCCTTCTTTACAAATTATCTCCTCCTTCAATGGACAATTATTCTGCAGAAGCAGCCTTTATACACCACCACAGACGTAAATATTCACTGCAAACGTAACTTGCCATTAGTAGCACAGTAGTAAGGTCACATTCACCATAAAACAAGAGATTTTTTTTTTCCCCTGTCAGAGGCTAAAATATAGTTAGGCTTTACCATGAGAAAAATAATCACACTACCACATACTGTTAACTCTTCTCTCAATGGGGGAAATAACATTTCTAAATCCTCCCTGTGGCTCCAGTAACACTCACAAACACACCAAGAACATGTTTGAACAAAGGAATCCTAATGGGATACCATCTTCCAAAAGCCTCAGCTGCACATAATTATCTCTGACAGCACATTTTTATAGTATTTTTCTCTGATTCTCAAAGCTGCACATTTCCAAATCAACAATGCTTTCTTCTGGTATTACTGTAAGGAAACCAATTAGCCAATATGCTGTGCAGAAAATAAAAGCTTAAATAATGTATATAACTGTAGCTCCTTGTAAGATACTGAATCCATTACAGGCAGAGTTCTGTAACAGCAGGCATCACGTCCTGTAGATCTAATGACCTGTTGCAGTCCAACAATCTGACAATTCAGAAGTCATTCTGTGAAAGGCTTTAAACTAGCACAAAGACATAAAACTCAAAGTCCAGAAACACAAAGCAAAGCTACTTTTCGGACGTGCTTCTGGCCCGAGGCCAGCCAAGAGCCCCAGTTCCCTGTCTAAACGCTACAGTGACTAATGAAACAACTGCACGCAAAACGTACCTTTTTTTCCCTGCCTACTACTGAGTACCAGCAGATAGCCAGTTACAAAGGGCAGAGAGATCTTTTGCTTCTGTTTTCCCTCTTGCCTCTCAATAAAACAAATTCTTTTTTACTGTTGCTTTCCATTAAATATAAACTTTTCTGCATGTGGCTACTGTCAGCTCCACGTACCCAGCCCAAAACAGGTAACAACAGCAGTTACAGTGTCAGCTTTTCAACCATGCAACGCAAAATTCAATAGAACACTTTCATTTTCTCTCTTCTCCCCTTCTGCATGCCCAAGACCAGTGATTTAGTACTTTTTATCCCTTATCAAAAAACCATTAAATCATATTTCTAGAATGAAGACAACATTTCAAGCAGTATTTTAGAACATTGAAAACTTCTGTTTTAGGGGGTCACCAAAGCCTGCTCGCCCTTCTACACCAACTAATCCTTCAAAGTTTGCCAAAAAGATGGTAGATGTGGATAAATGTCCCCGTTGCGGCAAATCAGTGTATGCTGCAGAGAAGATCATGGGAGGAGGAAAAGTAAGTAGTTACTACAGCACTAGAAACAAAACACAGTTTTATAATGGTGATAAACTACAGCTAACGGGTCCTTGATATTTTAAATTTTTACTCACAGTCTTGATGAAGAAAACATGAGGATGAATTAGCAAATTGCTAGAGAGTTTGATGCACTTTCAGGTTTAAACCCATGTGCTTTTCGTAAGCCGTCTTCAACTTTTTGCATCTTGTTGATGTCTGAAGAACAACTCCTGGCTACTGTACCGGCTGGCTCTTCTACCACTGTCATTCTGCCACCATCTCTGGGGATATTTATAATTTAAACATTTATTTGTAGTGGTAACTGCAGACATATTAAAGAGATTCTGGGCCTAGAAAAACAAAAGCCAGTATCATGTGACATGCTGGCCCTCTGCTCTAGGAACTCTCACTAGAATATTATCTCTGTCCATCAAAGAAATGGCCAAAACAAGAGTAAAATCTATAGCTCTCTGCTTTTTACCAGACCTCTGTTAATAAAAAAGTCACTAGGTAAAACATTGACATAGGACAAAAAACTAAATTAAAAAAAACCCTAGCCTAGAACAACTGGAAACGGAAACCATAAGACCAACAAAGCAATTTTAATCTTTTCACACCATAAAAAGCAACAGTTCTTTGTATCTTACATCTGCCAGCTGTGCACCTTCTGTGATATACACTGAATTGTCTTGATTTCCTCAGCCTTGGCACAAGACGTGCTTCCGCTGTGCTATCTGTGGGAAGAGTTTAGAATCTACAAACGTTACAGACAAAGATGGAGAGCTCTACTGTAAAGGTAAGAATTGTAATGAGCTGAACTGGGTTACTGAGTCCATCCAAAATTGTTCTTTTTAGACCCACTATTGCCATCATGATTTACTTCGTTGCATGCTTAACAACCTCATAACATTTCATTTGATCTTTTTTAAGAAATTTCTGAAAGCAAAGGAAAGAGCTATGGTAACACTGCAGTTGCATCCTCTACTATTAACATTTACATTTTAAAGCTGTAATTTTTCTACAGATATGACACCCTCTCAGATCTGCCCGCAGACCTTCTAACAGGAACATTGGCCCTATCTGCCAGGCAGGTTCTTGTATCAGCATAATCTCTCTCACTCAAAAAAAACCCAAACCAAAAAAACCCCCAAACAACAAACCACAAAGATACAGATCTTCAAAGGACATCTCATGGTCCTAACTGGACTTCTTCCCAGTAAGAGTTAAAAGATACTTCCACTGTGTTTGTAGTACAGAAGATAACGCATTCATGCCAAATCACACACCCAGATGTTCTTAGATCAAGCAAGTTCACAGGACTTCACTCAACCCTTAGTAAGAGCTTAAAGTGAAAAATAGGCAAAGTTTTCACATGCTAGGCTAAATTTTACAGAGAATCCTAAAGAACAATAATTAAGTTCCGTGACTTTGGGTACAGTCTGACCACTGCAAGTGATCAAATTAGCGTATTTGGAGAAATAGGCTGACCATAACTAACAACTGATGACCTTAGCAGAGCTGGGATAAATAACTATGCAGATACTTAGCAACACAGAGTTAAAATGGAACGGTTTAAACTAGCATCAGTAGCTCCTAGACTAAGCTCTAACTCTTTTAACCTCCTTTGAAAAATCTCCAAGTTATTACTCGGCCTGTATTATGGGGACAATCTTTTTAGCAGAGACAACAGTGACAGAATGAGGGGTAATGGTTTTAAACTAAAACAGGGTAGGTTTAGGCTAGATATAAGGAAGAAATTCTTTACAATGAGGGTGGTGAAACACTGGAACGGGTTGCCCAGAGAGGTAGTGGAGGCCCCATCCCTGGAAACATTCAAGACCAGGTTGGACAGGGCTCTGAGCAACCTGATCTAGTTAGTGGTGTCCCTGCTCGCTGCGGGGGGGTTGGACTAGATGACCTCTAGGGGTCCCTTCCAACCCAAAACTTTCTATGATTCTATGATTACTCATACAGACTGAGATTTACTGAGTATTTTCTGACAGGAAAGTAGTTTTAATGAAAATGTTACTTAGATCCTAAATACATACAGTTTATTAATTTTTTTTGAGAAGATTAGATGCGACTTTTGCTTAATTCAAATATGTGATTCCAGTTTCACTATTAGAACCTGTTGACACTTCTGAGAAAGACACTATTTCAGATTCCCTTCCTTTTATTAACTTAAGTTTGTAAGTAGTACTAAACCCAGAAGTCATTTGCTCTCTATGAAGACATTTGTAATACCATTTACCTCCTTCCTTCTTTTGCAGTTTGCTATGCAAAAAACTTTGGTCCCAAAGGAATTGGGTTCGGTGGCCTGACTCAAGTGGAAAAGAAAGAGTTTTTTTAATGAGAAGAAAAGGATGAAATAAACTGCTGTGGATGCCACCAAGTGATAGCTGTCAAGTAAAACATTACATGTCACATATTGCTAAGAACCTAGGGCATTTGTTTAATATTTTCCACCTTGCAGGAAAAACTTGTGAGCTTGTATCTTAAGAAATTCTTAGAATAGCTTAAAAAGGTACAATGATAAAACTAGATTCATGCTTGTTTTACAGTAAATAAAGACAAAAAACCTCATGGAACATTACTGTTTCTAAAACCAGTATTTCACACTGTAGACTGGAATTTTAAAGACTCAGCATCCTGTCCCATTAAGACAGAGATGCCTTATGGAGCACAAGGGTCAGAGTGTTCCGACTTAGGCCGTATTTTCCTTCGTTCAGAATGTTACGCCGTCTATATTTCTACCAGTCTCCGAATGGAGTTGTGAATGTTTTGACATTTTGTGTTAAGGCAAAGTAGATGTTACTCATTTCGAGATAATTAAAAAGTATTTGAAATTCTCTCAGAAAGAGATATTTCTGAAGAAAACCAATATTTTCATAGAATACGGTGTTACAAGTTTTGGTAATGTATGTTTTCAAGCTACAATAAAGTAGTGATACTGCTTCACGTTATTTTTACTTAAATTTGCTTGTGCTTTATGTTCCATAATGTCACAGATAAATGCATTTCACTAAGATGAATTAAATACCCCTTTTCTTTAACTACAGGAATACTGTTTCATTACATTACTTTACTCTTACCTTGTCAGTTCTTGATGGTATTGAACTTTAATTTTCTGATCTTGATCTGTTTCCCTGATGGTTTTCATCACTACCTACTCTGACTTATATTCAAAACCACACCGCGCAGCTGGCCACTGCAGACCGACTTGTAGCCTTTTCTTGGGAACATGGCTGACATCCAGCTACTACAGAACTATGCATGCAGCTGGGAATAAGTCCCTCTTATTATATATTGCTATTTTCCATCATCAACTTAGCTATTTTCATACACTAACAGGGCATATATACATGCAAAACAGAAGACAAAGAGTCAGGCTTTTTCTTATAGTTTTGTGCTTACTTGTTCTTAAATACCTCACTGGTCACATATCCCTTGAAACTATTTCAGACTGTAAAAATACACCTAGAAGCATGAAAGCTCTGTTTTATTACGTGTAAACCCTCCAAATACAAAGACTTAATAAAGGTTTTCACAACATAAGAAATAAAATTACAGCGTAATTGTAATATTAAATTTTTGAATATGAGCGTTCCCCTTGATTTTCAAATGTAATTTATTATCTGCAAAACAAAGCAAAGGGTACCAACATGGTTTTGAAATTCTTCCCTGAAAACTTACCTTTAAAAAATATATTCTTAGTGTCATCTCATCACATAAAATTTCAAATCGTTTCATCTCCAACTATATATACACATACATATAGTGATGGTTCCACATATAAACCTGTTGTAGCTTATGCAAGATAGGTTTAATATTTGAAACAAAATTAAAATTAAAAACAAGCAACTTCAGAAGAATTTGTAAAAATTAACAAAATAACCCATTTTATTTAGCTTTCAGCTCAACGGTTCTAGAAATTAAGCAAAACTTCATACAGAATGAACATTTTTCTCCTTTGTCAGATGAAGAAGGTTGTATTGCTTGGTCCAGTCAACTACATTGGGTTTGCACATACCAAAGCAACCGCACTGAAAAAAGTCTGCAAGATTCTGGAAGCATCCAAGACTGAAAAAGAGAGAAATATCCATTAATAAACCTAGCAAAAGACGACTGCAGGCATCAAAAGTACACATTCACCATGAGGCAGTATTTAAGATACAAAGCTGTCAATGAAGACAGCTCCTGGAGAAGAAACATACGAACAGTTCTCTGTTGAGCACTATTACTTTGTTGAACTTTTACAACCTCTATTACATTTAAGAGTGATTAAGTTCAACTCAAATGTTTAAAAGTTAGTAAAATTACATCTGCTAACATACATGAGGAAATATGGACTTCTGCTGTAACAGGGAAACGCTAGTAGTAATTTCTTTGTTGAGCTAAATACTGCAAGAGACAGTTTTTCCTACATACACAGCCATGCAGAAAGAACCCCAGTAGCTTTTACGCTGGCTGTTCATTTCCTCCGGCAAAGGAAGTTCTCAGCAAGGAAAATGAGGTCCATTTCCTCCTCTTAGCACAACTCGTAACAGGCATGACTAGCACGTCCATACACCACCTTTTTTTGCATTTATGAAGTAGTGAAGCAAATCAGTACTGAAAAGATACGTGCTTAAAACACTATTCATTAACACTCACTTGTATGGAGTTCTCCTGAGTGCAACAGGATGCTTAGAAGATTTTCTCTGTATCAGGAAGTTCATTCTCTCATGCGAGGTCAATCCCAAGAATGCAATCTTATAGAAAGGAAAATGTAAGTAATGCTTAAAACATGAACATCACAAATTAAAATTCTGGTGATACCAAAAGATACTGTCGAGAAGAGAGGGAGGGGAATAGGTTGGCCATATCTAACAAGTAAGTAACTACTGCCATAATTAATGCCTGAAAAGTATGGTTTTAATTGTCACTTGGACTAAAACAGAACACAGCAAGCTGCAACATTAACACTTCCACTGAGAAAGCAAGCTTAATTGAGATGACTGCAAAGACTGTACTTTTACAGCTGTCTGTAGAAGTTTAAGACCTATAGCAGTTAAGCACCTGTCTCCTCAGATTTTGTCTATATTCTACCACACAAACTGGTAGAAAAAGATCCCCTGAACAAGACAAAGTAGCTTAGCAAAAAAGATGAAGTAGATGTCACAGACTCAGCAATAACTTTTTTGTTTTCTTGATTCCGTGTCTTCTTTCGCCGAGTTTCACAGTAAGATTTATGGGGTTTTTTTGCATTTTTGCTTACCTAGAACTTTTTCCATTTTCTTATTTTTTTTAATCAACATAAATCTTATAAGCCCTTATAAATGGCTGCAAGGTTGCTTTGCTGAATGACATGCTAAATATCATAAAGCAGTACATTTAGAAATGACTGTGTATGAAAACCCAGTAGTTAACTGTAAATATCCTACCATCCTTTTTTTCCCCCAGGATGATACCTCAGTTTCTTGGACATTACAGAAATCTAGCAGCACACATTTAAAATCACGGATTTTTCTTTTCGTTTTTTTTTTATGTTTAAAGAAGATATAAAACAAGCCTTTAGCTCAGTATTCTTAACACATATTCAGATGACACATCTTTCCTAAAAGCTGCTAAACAAGCTGTTTCCTAGATGTTTTAAGACAGCTCTTCCCAATTCTGTTTGCATAGCCAAGCTCTCTCTCAGGAAAACATAAGAAATTTGACAGTCCTCATCAGGATAAACTCCAGGTCATATATTTTTATTGTAGCAATGGGATTTAATACAGTCTAATGACGCGCTGCTGAGCTCTGCCACAGAATTTTCAAGCCAGGACTAATTGTGCTATTGAGCTTTTGTGCCATTTTTGGGGCAGTAATATCAGTTCTATTAGTCAAGTAAGTTTCTTGCCTTTAAATACATCTTTTTATAGGTTTGGAATTTTTGATGAGTAGTAAATCCAAAACTCAGTTACAAGAATGACTTGCAGACTGTGATTCCGCTTTAACACAGGAATGCTGAGTGCACAAGTACCCATGGAACTTAAAGGACTGCCCTGAGATTTAAGAAAAGCACCTAGATGTGACATTAAATAGTCAAGGAAAGCAGGCACAAAGCTTTCATGGGAGCATATCATCTAGGGAAAAGTTTTATATATGCTGACTCCTTAAGAGAGGAGCATGAACTGAAGCAAAATAATACCTGATAAAGCTGAACAGTCAGCCACAATGAAGCCCACACAGTATGAAAACAGGCTACTGCAAAGATGTAGGAAACCCACGGAGAACAATATATTATCTGTGTGAAGTATGTCCATGCTCCATCTTGATGATAACTGGTTGCGCAATGGTTTGACCAGTCTGGCAAGACACATAATCAGTTAATTATGTTTTTGATATAGGCCACTTCAGAACTGAACAAAGATTATTTGCATAGGATGAATATTACATAGCAACACGCTCTACAAATACCACATTTAATTTATCATGCTCCCACTTCAAAGCATCCACGCAAATACGTGACTGCTTGCTATTCTGGTTGCATAATCTTTACATTATGTGTTTATAATCCACAGTAGGAACATTCAAGGCACTGGCTAGGCACTTTTTTAAAGTTAACTTGTGATACCGAAATAAGTCATCATCTCTCATTGTCAAGACTTCTGAAATTTTGCTTCACGCTTATTTGTCATTTTAGGACAAGAATTTATCATTTATCTTAAACACCATCATCAACGAAATAAGCCATTAAAGTGACAATGTCAAGAAAGCAGTATTTTACCAGTATTAAATAGACAGAAACTGGAATATCCAACTTCTGCATATTTGTTAAGAGATACTTTAAGCCTACCACACATTACTTTAATCTATAAAAAACCCCAAACAACTAAAACTTTTTTTGCCTCTATGTCAGCAGAACAATAAAGAGGTTTTCCTCCCACGTTCCTTCACGCACAAGAAATGGAGAAAGTAATCTGCATTTGGCATACGTACGACCACAACCAAAACACAGGAAAGCAACTCATGTCCACATGAGTCCCCCTAAAATATAAAATCAATAAAGCCTTTGCAATAGTGTATTTAAAAACTTATTTTCTATTGTAGTATAGCATATCCAGACTAGAATCAGTAAACTGACCTTCCTCTGCATAGCTTCCCTGTTTCATCTCTAACAAAAATGCTTTCTGATATTGTATTTTCCCATGGACACCCCTCTAGAGCTGTGTCTTAGTTTCTATTCAACACAAACATAATCAGATATTTCATCAAAGACTCAGGTACGACATATTTTCATTTTAAGACAGAATTACAAGATAATCTCATTGCTGAAATACGGTCTCATTTGCACAGGTATGATTACACTTGCTGGAAACAAAATGCTGAAAAATGAAGACCATACACATGCATCCTTGTAAGCTAAATCAAAATGAATTCATGGATACATACACAGAAGAGTTCCATAAAGCAGCCAGCCACCGGTCATAGTTAGGAAAGACAGGAACAATAGGTAGTAACGATGGTTCCCAACGCCTGTATTTGAGGACAGGGAAAAAACCAAAAAGTTTGACATTTTAAAATTCAGCTGTATTTGCATTTCCCCTTAAATAAACAGAAACAAAAAGAATCAAAACCACTTCTTATTATTACCTCTGCTGCCCTCAAGGGAGTTTGACAAGGCTGATCTCTTTCTCAACTTTCTCCTGTAAGCCACCCCAATTTATATATCAGAATTAGTTCTGATAAAGTCAACCAGGAGTTGCCTCTTCTTCAGAGTGTGTCTTCAGCTGTTTTAGCTAGATGAGGACTAATTATGCAAGCACAACTCCCCCCATGCACACAAAAACTGTCTCCTATGACTGAAAAATCTAAGCTATTCACTGCAATTGTCTGACCTTTGTATGCATACACATACAACCCCCTAGACTTCTGTCAGAGAAACTGTTACATGAAGACAGACAATTATTTTTCTTTAAATTACAATCAGCATTGCTCAAAGCTCTGAAAGTATGCATCAGGAGGATGTCTCACCACCTTGCAAACACTGTAAAAATATTTCCAAGTATTTAACATTACAAAAAAGCTATTGACAAAAGAACATGCTAAAAATATATTGCTACAGATGTAAAGCTCTAACCTTCTTCTGTGGAGTATCACCAGTAATGAGACAGAAAGGAAGAAAGAGGGAATTTCTCAAAGAACACAAGAACACAAAAACCACCCTGAGGGGTTATCTCAGCGGTCCCGCTGCTCCAGCGTACTGTCTCTAACAGCGACAGCAGGCAACGTTGGCTCAGAAGGACAAACAAGCCCGGCTGCTTTCTATAGTTCACTCTCTTCATCCACAGCTACTGCTTTAAAATGTCAGGGTGTGCATACTTGTCTAGTTTGTTTAGTATTTACTTTTGGGCACATTGTCCATAAGTTTGTCTAATGACTTTCTGAACCTTCTCACACTGCCTGTATCTGAAAATCCTTACGGCAGCAAGCTCCAAAATTTCACTACCTGCCATGTAAAAACATTTTTTCTTTACCAGTTTTAAATCCAATTGCTATTCTCACTGAGCCTCCCCTAGTTCTAGTATGATGTGCTTGGCAAATAACAGTTCTGTACTCACTTTAGCCACCATTTTCATTGTTTTTAAGTCTCTATCATATCCCTTGTTCCTTCTTCTCTCAAAAGAAAGAGCCCAGGCTTTTTGGTCTCTACTCTTAGGGCAATCACTCCATCCTTTTAATCATTTTGGTTGCCTTTACTCTCTGCCATCTAACTAATTTCCCTCCGGCTCCTATCAGTAACCCGTTCAGTGTCAATCCTGTATTCTTATATCAGGAGCGCACTCTCTCTAAAGAGGTAAGTGCTCCTGATAACCTCTGTAACCCTTAAAATATGTGGTATTTTCAAATTTGATAAAACAAACACTCTCACCTATGCACTTTCCAATCCACAGAGAATGCTGATCGTATCTCGCTACACATGAATCACAAGCAAGGCAATGCATAGATCTCAAAGGCTTCCTTACCTAGTTGAGGATGAACAGAAAGAATGTAATCATAGCAAAAGCATTTATTTTGCCCAAAGTTTAGAACATCACCTCATAGGCATCATCATATTTTGTACCGTTACTGTGTAATAGATCCCACAATAAAGACGACAGAGGAGACCTCTACATCTTAATTTTACAAAACGAGATGGAAATAATAATAAAGCTATTTTATTAAGATTAGAGTTCAAGGACCTCAAAGCATCTCTTTTGTCATCGTAAAATAAAAAAATAAATCTAAGTAATATAAACCAAACTGTGCATGTAACACTTGCATGACGAGCAACGAGGAAAAAGTTTTTTATAGCACTATTAAGTAAAAAGCAGGTTAAACAAGAAAACAAATACCAAAGCCTCACTTACAAGACACGATGTGCAAAACGTTCTGAAGTCCAAGCAACCTGCTTCTGCAAGAGCTACGATGTTCTGAAAGACAAAGTAGTTCACGCTTGAATTCGGATCACATTTCAGGGGGATCTGTGAAGAGTTTTACCCTAGGCCTTTCGCAGTTCGTAAGCATTTTGACTGCCAAGCACCAACAGGAATAAATACTTGCTATTTAAAAGGTCCAGGAGAAACACAACAGGCTAATGCAATTTCACTCATGCAGGATTATTCAGAAAAGTATCTCTATGTTGCCAAAATTAATAATTAATGTGAATGAAATATTCTTGAAAACGAGATGGTATTAAGATACAAGTTACCTCTCATATAGTCACCAGACTTCAGAGAGATGAGGAAAGCTGCTATATTTACTGTTCTTTTATAAGTACTAGATAGTCCTGTGGCAACAAGTTAACACTGCAGTTTATTCTCCCTGGCAATCTCAAGAAACACAGCCTCACGAAGAGTAAAAAGATCACAAACAAATGCTTTCCTTAATCCACAGGCTGGGGAGATCAAAATACTAAATTCTCTATGGAATTGGTTGGCCACAATTTCTTTTTGCCATTCTAAAACAGAGCTAGGAAATCGCATGTGGTTTACATGATCTTAAGCGCAAAAATCAATCCATTATACACATCCTCAAAGCACCTAACAAACCTTAAGCCACTTCTAGCCTTTGGCATGTCTAGCACTGTGAATATCTCTTTCTCATCTTGGAGAACTGGAATGCAAACCATACAAAATTTATATTTATTAAGTGAAGGTCTGTGTGAATTTATACCACAGATAACATCACTGACATGGTCTGGACAATGTTTGGCCAAAGTTCATATCTCAATGAGAGGATGGAGCCAAGGAAATTATGGGAGGATGATGAAGATAAGGAAACAAGCAGTAGTAGCAGAAATTATCTGTGATCTATGTTGTTCAATGACAGAACTAAAAACCCTTAAAATAAAAAAAATAGTATTTCACTGCTTTCAAGTTCAACTAAGCTGCACGTGACAACAAGCAAACAAATCAACCAAAAGTACTTATGTGTTGCACCAGCTTAGCCCTTCCGTTTGTTTCACCTACCTCTTTTCTTTCTTTTTCTGAAGTCTTAATATGTCCAGGATCAGTTCTCCAAGTTTTATAGAAATAATACAGAAGACCCACCACGCTGAACATGACAGTGATTTCAACAATTGTATTACTTACATGTAATATTCTGATTAAGGAATATATTCTTACATATATTCTCATATCACTGCTATTTATCAAAATATCCTAAAATTAGTTTATGTTATTTTATAGCAACAGAAAAAGGAAAAGAATGACTTTCACTTTTATAGTAGGATCCTCTCTGTCCTTCAGAGGCCACTGTATCAGAGAAGTTGAATATTTTGTCCAGTTTGAGCACTGGAGAGAAGACTTTTACAACTGTATAACGCTGCATCACAATATAGCTCCCTGTCATCCACACTAGCAGAGTGCAGACTTTTGCGTTGGAATGTTTAACAGACATAAAATGAATTCAATTTCTTTTTTCCCCTCTGAAGTTTTTGTATTTTAACAATACCAATCAGACATGCATAGTTACTAAGCTCCCAGCAGCTGTGAGATTTGTTTGACTGTTGCACACACCCCTGAGTCACCAAATAGGCTCTTACTCAGACCATCTTCTAAGTCTCACCCTCTTCTTGTTTGTTTCAGCTAAAACAAGTGAATAAATTTAGACAGAAAAATGCAGCTTCAGTCATCCTGGAACTACCTTTGTCACTCAAAAAAACCAAGCGCACACTGCTAAACACTTCTGAAGGTAACGGGGCAGCTACTAGGAACCCTCCTTCCCTCACAAATACACTAGAAAAACCTTGACAATGAAATGACAAATTTGTGGTCTAATTGGACATTTTCCTTCTTGCACACCCTTTGCTTTTACCCAGTGGCTGACTGTTTTAATGACTGTATGTGGAGGGAATTCATCCCTCATGAAGTCCAGAGAAGCAGACTTAAATTCAGTTACTTCCTATATATAGTTATTTGCTGCAACTTCTCTAGCAGACAAATGATTATTCTACATGAGGGAGGATATACAGTCACCAGGAACATAACTTTTACACTATGGACTAAAAAGACCTCTACGTGAGGTGAAAGAAGGGGAGAAAAAACACATCCAGATTAACTATCTCCATACAGCAACAGAGGAGTGTGGAGTGTGATAAGTTTCACACCGATTAAATTCAGGCATTGAACTCGAGAGCTCGGGCTCCTACAGAACAGTCCATGATGCCACCAAGGAGCAGTCAGAGACCCCACACCTGGATTGCATTTCCAGTGACCGCTCAGCCACCATGTAAACCACACAGTGTGAATAACTGCAAAATCAAGAACTGCAACCTCAAGGTTGTTTTGTCTTATGAACTAAAAACACTGCGAAGTAGCTCTAATTAAAATCAAGATAATAAATTACGAAATACTGGTGCTGTCTATTACCAGTCCTGTAGCTATGTTTGTTACAATGCAATTGCAGGGTGCACTTACATACATCAAAATTATTTCTTGGGGATACTGCTGGTCTATTTGCACTTCTATTGTTTTTTGGAGCTGAGAGTAGTCGCTAATTAGAATGGCTGAATTTTCACTCAGACATAAATACAGGTAACCAAAACACTGAACACTTGTCTAACACTCAGATCTGTGACCAGTTTCAGAAGGAAAAGACATTAATGAGAAAAAGGGTTGGATAGCAAAACAGAAAACTATCCACCTGCCCATCTCACCAAGCTGTGGTTAGACCTTCAAGAATATTGCTACGCTCGCTATCTTCAGCAAAGTGTCCAACTCCAACCCCTACTGCTGGAATTTTTTTTCTTTTAAATTAGATGACACCAAGAAAACCTTAAAACTCCACAATGCAACACTGAATAACACGATTTTCATTTAGACAAGCATATGCATGTATCCCCAGCGGGACTATACTTGATCAGTTCATCGAAGTTAATCCTGATAATTCTGTTAAGGACATCTTAATTGGGAACAGTACAAAAGAAAATGCCACTTACAGGATGAAGTAATTAAAAATTAATTTAAATTATGTAGCAATATATTATAGCTGGTTTAGTAGAAAATTATTTACCGTTCTAAGTATCTCCCTAAAGGCCTTTTCACAGAACTTAATCAATAAATAAATAGATGCCCCCTGCGTAACAAAAGAGCAGGACACTGAAAAGCAAGTGTCAACTACTATAACGTTTTTGTAGTCATCAGAGCAAAGCCTCTTCAAAGAAAGTAAATGAAAGGTAGACCTTAATGCCCTGTACACTGAGGATGCAGCGTAACCTGTTAATAGATAGCGGACGGGAAGGTCTATTTTGGAGGGACACAAAGAAATCTGTTCCATGATTTTGGGGGAGTGGGGGAGGTGTTTTTGTTGTTTTTAAAAGCAGAAGCATGAATATCAGTAACTGTCAAATCCTTGGCCATTTCAGAAAGAAAAGCTGCTTTGAAAATTATTATTAATGCATGTGTTATCTGGTTATACTACATGCCAAAATACGTTACTGTATGAGAGTCTCAATGAGGAATATTAAAGAGTCACATAGAGAACGTAACAGAGACAAGGGGCTTTATAACAAAGACGTTTTCATTTTGATACTCCAGTAACATAAGAAATAGTTCAGAATTGTACACAAATATCTGCTAAAAACAAAGGAAAGTACAGATTTTTAGTCCGCATATAACTTTAAATTAAACTCAAAGTTATTTGACTCCTGCCCAATGGAAGTAAATCAATCTTACCAAACATTAACAGTCAGGTGGAATTATCTGGGACTGTTCGTTACTATTTGCATGACCAGGCTTGGATTTATTGGGAACTGTAAGGAGAGCTTTATCACACTACTTGAGTATAAAGGATATCAGGCCGGAACCAGAAAAAACAGGTCACGAGCATCCAAAAAACTGAACTTAGCAGAAACGCTGTGGGAAGATACCTCAGATTCTTGAGCCCCACAAAATGCCTGAAAGAATATTAAAAGAAAAAAGTATTCTTATAAGTGTATTTAAAATGTAACTCCATAAATCATCCATTTTGTTATTTTAAAAACTTTACACGCACGGTACACTTCAAGTCTCTCTTAAAGCAATCAAGAATTGTCACTGAGAAGCATTCTTAAGCCAGATGCGTAGGGGTTAACAATGCAAAAATAAAACTGAAGAGTGCTCTGTTTCAGCCTAATATTATATATCAGAAGTGCAGTAGCACTAAGTGAAAAGTGCCATCTCTGTCCTTTTGCACACCAATAGCATCGCCATCTCAATGAACATTGACTGTTCCAGCAACTGTTGAAGAAAGCAGGAGGCCTGCAGAACAGCTCAGAATAACGCTGGGAGGTCCGGGGAGCAGGGGTGGGGGAGGGAATGGTTCATCAAAACTCAATCTGTGTCACAAATACAGAAGGAAAAGTTGAGATAAAACACATTTCTGAGCATCGTGAATGGGTATCTCAGTGTCTACCAGGTGCAGACCTTCAAAAACACTCTCTTTATCATTAAAGTTAGCTAATAGACCGCTTAAACACTTTGGTGAGTTTTTTCAGATCTTTCAGTGATGAGAAACTATTATTTTGCACACCTAAAGACATTCAATTTCTACGGTCATTGTAAAAAGTACGTACATTTAAATCCTTCACACACTCTGCACCCATTTCTCAGGAGGTATTTTTTATGCTAAGTGAAACTAAACTCTGAAAAGAATACTGCATTAGACACCTTACGTGGCGTCCATAACAAATACGTACATATACAGTGAGAAAAAGACACAAACCTCACAAACAGAGCCATCCCAAAGAGCAGGAAGAGCAGCAGACCTCCTTTCAACAGCCAAGAATCAGAACTTAAGTTCATTACGTATCCTATGGCCCACACCAGCATCAAGGAAGATGCCAACAGCAGGAAGAGCTATTAAAATGATTATTGTTAAAATATAATGAAATATTGAAACAGGACTTACTTCAAAAGTATTCTGATAATGGAATAACAGATGTTGAAAGACTCAAGGTAAAGAAGACAAACCGACACACGAAAGCACCAAAGGGGGGGTGGATGGACACAAAAACCCCCACCCAAAGCACTGCTACATGCTTTTAAAAAAAATTTACTTTTGTGCACCCAATTTCAGAAACCTTAGAAGATCCTCTTGTTAGAAGAGTTAAGTTGCATATTATTCTAAACACAGAATACTGTAGCTTTATTTCCATTAGGTATTAATCATGAAATTACCTCGTATTTCTCTAGTATTCTTAGTAACCTGTTATTTCTTCTGTTTCTCACTTTTTCTTCCTCTTTTACCATATAAGCCATGAAGCGATTCAGACTTTGATAAGCAAGGTCAAGTGGTGTCTCTCCCTTTAACAACAGAAATGTTTATTTCTTTATGCACTTAACACACAAGAAGCAAGAAATAAGCATAACTAAAACAAGAATAACTTGGCAGTTACTTCCCCCTGTCCCCCCCCTTTTTTTTCTTAAGGCAAGGGTAAACTAAATTCAGATTTTTAACATGCTTAATCCAGTGCTTTGTCATTCTAAAAACGGATACTTGCAACCAGATTGCATCCATTTGAGTTATCTGTTGGACTATCTCCAATAACCTGAAACACTAAACTGTCTGCTATAATATTTCATGCTTACTGAAAGGGAAGGTTTCTTGTTTACATTAACTTTTTAAAACCAAACAGCGATATCCGAAGAGTGATACACATGAATAAAAAGAAGCATCAGAGAGAAAAGCTGCACAGCTTAATACACAAACTCTGAATAAGTACACTATACAAACGTATCTGTATAGTCATAAGAATCGATAGTTTCAACATTTATACTTCTCACTATCAGTTTTTACAAATATTAGGACAAAGAATTCCATATGTGACTAGCCCTTCTGAACTACAAACAGGCGTTGTCAAACACCGATTTTCACAGGATGACATACACGTCTTCTCAAAGACTTTTAAGAGTCTCACTGGACACCAAGACACTGTTATTATTAAGAGTCATTACTCCTTGTGACAACATTTTGAAGTAGAAGACAGCCAGCTTAAAGGAAAAAAAAAAAGAAACGGGGAAAAAAAAGAAGTGGGGAAAAAAAAAGGGAGGATCTGCAAAGGACACAGTTATGTTCAGAGTCACTGAAAGGCTTGGTTGTTCATTAAATGAATGTTGCAAAGAATCTCTGTATTTGTCCTTTGTGCCATATCACAAGAAAGGTGCTAACTCCCTCGACTGCCCCCTCCCTGCCAGTGTCCAAGGCCAGGTTGGACGGGGCTTTGAGCAACCTGGTCTGGTGGAAGGTGTCCTTGCCCACGGGAGGTGTTTGGAACTGGATGATCTGTAAGGTCCCTTCCAATCCCAACCATTCCATGATTCTATGATCTAACTCCTTTTGGGAAAGGCTAAGGATGCCTGCTCTTAGCTAACCCCTGTTCCAAAGGGGAGAGGACTCAGATTTTTCTTTACATTCATTTTACACACTCATGCCACATGTAATTAAGTATCACGAAAGAAATTGTACCTTGACATTTTTTATGTCCAGGCTAGCACCAGCTTCCAGCAACAGATCCACTGCACTAGTATTGCCTGACGTTATTGCCCAATGCAGTGCAGTATTCTTTTGAACATTGTCTACAGCATTGAGAGAGGGGTTAAACTTTAAGAGAAACCTCGTGGGTTCTGGTCTAGATGAAAATAAAGTACAAAAGTTAACAAACAGAAGATAATCTATACTGGAGATGAAACTTTTGAACACCTTATAACAACCACTGTACCCATTTGTGAAATAACAGCAGATACACAATGTCTTGTCTCAGAACAAGCTCACCGATGGCAGATGCCAGTTTATAATTCAGGACCTGCCCTCAGGGTTTTTCTTCAGACTACGTTATCTTACCATTTTAATAAATATGAGGTATATACACAGATCATATCTTTCTATAACACTGTGTACAAGCCTACATCTCCACATTTTATTTATTCTAAATGCATTCTACTGCATCCACTTCCATTTACTTTCCATTTCTGGGAAAGCATAACAACACTGCAGATGGTTCAGCCACAAACCAAAACTTCTTTTCAATTTTTTTTTTATTCTTTCCTATATCCAATTAGCTACTTGACAACCTCTGATCTCTGAAATACTGCATATTTTAGTACAACTAAAAGGGAAAGCAATGTCAGTTCTACAAAAAATTTCATGAGAAAAAATTCACCTCACCCAATTTTATGTGGTACAATAAAATAGATTCTTCTTAGGTTATTCACTACTTACCCAATCGCTTTTTGTGCCAATAACATTAAAGGTGTTTGTCCATTGAGGTCTGTTGTGTCTACGTTCTAAGTACAGGAGAAAGATAACAAGCAAGTGATCACCAGTGATTTCAGGAAACAGAGTTAGATGGTCAGACTGGGAGCTACACAACCAGCTTAGCTTCACTGCAGTAGTGGAAAGAAGGGAAATTATACCAGCCAAGAAGCCAACGCTCATTTAAACTTTTTCCCTCTCTCTGAGTCTTGCATGTCATTCCTTTCAGATTATGATAAGTCTCCACTAAGGATACTTCTAAGGGAGAGACTCCTCTAAGGATATTTTTAAGGGAACCACGTTAACCATATTTCTTGTCCTTTTTTGCACAAAAATACTATAAATAAAATGTATCATGTACAGCAATGTTAACCATCTGCCTTGTGTAAACAGAGGTACATAACAGAATGTCCAAGTACATCAAACTGGCTTATTAAAATAACAAAATAAGATTAGGTATCTCAACATAATTGCTTAAACATCTAAACTTGCATTACCTAATTTTCTTCCTTCTTCTTCACAATGCAGGTTTCCTTATTCCCCACCTCCACCCATCATTCACCCATCCACCCACCCATCACTTCACACATTAGAGCAGATTTACTTAGAAGAATTGTTTAATCACCTGGATTTTTTAGTAGAAGATAGGTGGGCTAAAAACTATAAGTTGGTGATACATACCATCTATACCTACATTCCAGAAGTCAGTTACTCTACTAAAAAGAGCTCTGTGAGAAAGAAGATACACTTACCAAATCTTTAAATCTTAATACTTAGTGTTTCAAAGAAACAGTCTATATCACATAAGAACTCTCCTCTCATTTTTCTTAGCAAATTGTTACACTTGTCATTAATTCTGCTTACTTCACACATACGCTAAGCAGACATCAGCTAGAGTGGATACAAAATAAAATTACAGAAACTATTGAAATTTCTAATAAAAAATTCAGATCTAGTCTGATCACCTATTCTGCATGCTTCAATTGATGGACAGTTGCATGGATTATTAGTTACAACACTGTAATCCAACAGTAAATACTTCACAACGTATATACTTCATACACTGCTTTTTGTTCTCATGTTTAAAAGCCAGTTATTTATAAAGTATCATGTATCTGCATAGCCTTAACAGCTCTCCTTAAACACTCTGAATTCTATGTGAATGTACATGTGTGGGGATGACAAGAACAGGCGAGAGTATTAAGAAAAAACCAAATATATATCTCTCTAGATAAAAATAATCTAAGTTTCTCTGAACCTATGGCACAGGGAAATAGTTGACTAATACCTGCTTAGCATACAGAAAGCAAAACAGTTAGTTCTGAAATGTATTGTACACACCAGTGGTTACTCGTAAGTAGAGAACAATACTTGGGACATCAACAACATACCTGTCCTTTTGATATGAGGTAAGCTACAATTGGCATGTGTTGAAACAGCACTGCTAAATGAATGCTACTGAATCCTTCCCCATCAATAAGGCTGGGATCCGCTCCACATTTCAGTAATAAAATGACCATAGGGAGGTGTCCTTGTCTGTAACAATATATGAAATGAAACTATAGAGATGACAAAAAAGATGGAAATTTTTAGCGAAAGTTTTGCCTTAATAATTCTCATAGATACACCACAAAAAAAAATTTCCATTCAGATTCTTCTGTTTTTGTT